TTGCTGTGGCAGTCCCTGCAGAAGGGAGCAGCCGAAAAAAAACCTTACTATTGAATATTAAATATGAATATTGTGTTTAAAATTCTGCTACACTCTACAGGTAGATGTCAGTCATTTTCTCCCTCCTCCACTTAGCTCCCACTGCCACCTTTCCCTCCATTCTCGTTAGCTGATATTTGTGGGCTGATAGCGCTGCTTCACTGATCTTCAACCTATCAAACACCACTCAGCTTTTTCCTCCTTTGTATTAGTTCTTTTTCATTTCTGCCCCAAACTATCCCAGCTGCAGATTGCTTTTGCAGCATGCAATTATTGCCTGGAGTTTTTCTTTAGATAAAAGCAGCAATGACTTAATACTGCACCTTTATCTGTAACATTCATCCATCTGTTTTCTTTACCCGCTTCTCCTTTTTGGGCTACAGACTGACCCACTCTGTGTGAGAGGCAGGGTATACCCTGAACAGGTCACAAGTCAATCACAGGGCAACTTAGAGATAAGATACAGGTGAAACCAGAAGTTTACATACACGCTTTAAAAAAAACACATATGCATATTATTCCACACCGTCTGACGTGAAGTCAGAATAAACTTTTCCTGTTTTAGATCAATTAGGATTCCCACAATTGTTTCTATTTGCAAAATGCCAGAATAATGAATGAGAATTTTTCAAGGCAATTATTACTTTCTTCAAAATCAAGTTTAAATACACTAAGATTACTATGCCTTTAAACAATTTGGGACATTTGATATGTCTCTGGAACCTTCTGATAGATTTATTGATAACATCTGAGTTAATTAGAGACACACCTGTGGATGTAATTTAAGGAACACCTGAAACACACTGCTTCAGTGTAACATCATGGGAAAGTCTAAAGAAATCAGCCAACATATCAGGAAGAGAATTGTGGACTTGCACAAGTCTGGTTCATCCTTGGGTGCAATTTCCAGATGCCTAAAGGTGCCTCGTTCATCTGTACAAACAATTATATGCAAGTACAAACAAGATGGGACTGTCCATCCATCATACCACTCAGGAAGGAGACGGGTTCTGTGTCCCAGAGATGAACGTGCTTTGGTCCAAAATGTGCATATCAACCCAAGAACAAAAGCAAACACCTGGTGAAGATGCTGGTTGAAGCTGTAAGAGTGTGTCGATATCCACAGGGAAACTGTATCGACAAGGGCTGAAAGGTCACTCTGTCAGAAAGAAGCCATTACTTCAAAAGAAACATAAGAAAGCCAGATTAATGTTTGCAAATGCACACAGGGACAAAGACCTTAATTTTTGGAGATACGTCCTGTGATCTGAAGAAACAAAAATTGAACTGTTTATTCATAATAACCCTCGTTACGTTTGGAGGAAAAAGGGGGAAGCTTGCAAACCTAACACCACCCCAACTGTGAAGCACGGGGGTGGCAGCATCATGTTGTGGGGTTGTTTTGCTGCAGGAGGGGCTGGTGCACTTCACAAAATAGATGTCATCATGAGGAAAGAACATTATGTGGAAATACTGAAGCAAGACATCAGACAGGAAGTTAAAGCTTGGGCACAGATGGGTCTTCCAAATGGACAATGACCAATGCATAACTGCCAAACTGGTTACAAAGTGGCTCAAGGAGAACAAAGTCAAAGTTTTGGAGTGGCCATCACAAAGCCCTGATCTCAATCCTATCGAAAATTTATGGGCAAAGCAGAAAAAGCATGTGAGCAAGGGAGCCTACCAACATGGCTCCGTTTCACCAGTTCTGTCAGGAGGAAATTCCTGCCAACTATTGTGAGCAGCTTGTGGAAAGATATCGAAAACATTTGACCCAAGTCATACAGTTTAAGGACAACGGTACCAAATACTAATGAAGTGTATTTAAACTTTTGACTTGGAAGTAATAAAAATGCCTTTAAAAATTATCGTAAATTTTTCTAGCATTTTGCAAAACAGAAAAAGTTTATTTTGATTTCACATCACAGTGTGTGAGTGTGTGTGTGTGGGGTGGGGGGGGGGCATATGTGTCTTTTTTAAATGGAGTATTGTAAACTTCTGGTTTCAACTGTAAACAGCACAAAATAATAATTCTTTGCAAGCTGTGAAAGGTAACCCGCACTCACTTCTGAGATTTTTTTTCTTCACACCAGCAGATATTTAAACACCACAAGCCTCAGCTGAAGAAAATTATTCCTCACCTCCTTAAAATGTATAGAAAAAGACAAGTAATATGTAAGATGAAAACTGCAAGAAAAACAGCAAAGATTATTTATTATTGATTCTTATTCTTTTTTGTTGAGTCAAACTGAGTCAAAATGAGTCAAAAATAGGAGAAAGATGTGGGAAGGAGCAAAAGAGGAGAGGGAAAGGGAGAAATTGACTATCTGTGGAAACATAATTAAGTCTGTGTTCTGACTCTCTGCAGCATACTCCTCAGAAATGCTGAATCGGCACACAGACAGACTGGTACAGCAGGGAGAAGGTGCAGAGAGGGCTGCAATAAGAGAGATATGAGGGTAGTAAGTAACACAAAATGTGTGGAAAAACTGTTCAAACAATCCTAAAAATACAGACGTTACCAAGTAACTCAATAAAGTTGAAGCACTTACAGAATAACTAAGTGCCTGCAGAGATAAAATGGATTGCATAATGATGCATGGCAGGTTATCTGCAGTCAGTGCTGGACTTTTGCAAGCGTTCAACATTTGCAGATGCTCCAGAAACAGCAGCACAAACCTCCAGGATTCACATGGAGCAGAACTACACTGACATCTAGAGACGGAAAGCTGAAGCTAACTCGTTGCAGCAGACCGCACACTGTAGCTGAGAAAAACAGCTGCAACCAAATGTAAGCAGCTAAAGCTAGAAAAGTTGTGTTTGTGTTGTGAGTTTCTGCTGTCAGGTACCTAGCCTCGAACAGAGGGTTGAGTCACAGTTGAAAGTAATCAGTCTGTCGCCACACTGAGGCAGCTCACATGTATAATGCATGGAGCTGACGGGTCAGCTTGAGACGAGGACAACCGATACACAGAGAGCCAAAAGGATGCATTTTCATTTCCAAAACAAAACCTTTTCTGCTGTTAACTGTAAAACAACACGACTGTTCTGAGAAACAAATGTTTATGTTGTTGTCAAAAGTACAAGAGTAACTGCATTTTACTGTTTGTGTTGTACTGGTATTTGGAAAGAAACCTGCTAAATATATATCATTCAGTTATCAACATTGATTTTAAATTGTCATATCAAATGAGAACATCTGTGTAAAAAAAATTCAAGCTGGTTCAGTTACATTTTGTGACTTAAAAAAAATTAATAAAATAAAGCAGAACATACAGGTGCTGGTCATAAAATTAGAATATTACTTAAGACCAATTAAAATAAGGATTTTTAGAAATGTTGGCTAACTGAAAAGTATGAACATGAAAAGTATGAACATGAAAAGTATGAACATGAAAAGTATGAACATGAAAAGTATGAGCATGTACAGTACTCAATACTTAGTTGTTGCTCCTTTTGCCTGGATTACTGCAGTAATGCGTCATGGCATGGAGTTGATCAGTCTGTGACATTGCTCAGGTGTTATGAGCCCAGGTTGCTCTGATAGTGGCCTTCAGCTCTTCTGAATTGTTGGGTCTGGTGTATCACATCTTCCTCTTCACAATACTCCATAGATTTTCTGTGGGGTTAAGGTCAGGCGAGTTTGCTGGCCAATTAAGAACAGGGGTACTGTGGTCCTTAAACCAGGTACTGGTAGCTTTGGCACTGTGTGCAGGTGCCAAGGCCTCTTGGAAAATGAAATCTGCATCTCCATAAAGTTGGTCAGCAGCAGGAAGTGCTCTAAAACTTCCTGGTAGACGGCTGCGTTGATCTTGAACCTCAGAAAACACAGTGGACCAACACCAGCAGCTGACATGGTCTCCCCCAAACCATCACTGACTGCGGAAACATGACACTGGACCTCAAGCAACGTGGATTCTGTGCCCCTCCTCTCTTCCTCCAGACTCTGGGACCTTGATTTCCAAAGGAAATGCAAAATTTACTTTCATCAGGGAACATAACTTTGGACCACTCAGCAGCAGTCCAGTCCTTTTTTGTCTTTAACCCAGGCGAGATGCTTCTGATACCGTTTCTCGTTCAAGAGTGGCTTGACACAAGGAATGCAACAGCTGAAACCCATGTCTTGCACATGTCTGTGCATGGTGGTTCTTGAAGCACTGACTCCAGCTGCAGTCCACTCTTTATAAATCTCCCCCACATTTTGGAATGGGTTTTGTTTCACAATCCTCTCCAGGGTGCGGTTATCCATATTGCTTGTACACTTTTTTTTTTTAACCACATCTTTTCCTTCCCTTCGCCTCTCTATTAATGTGTTTGGACACAGAGCTCTGTGAACAGCCAGCCTCTTTAGTAATGACCTTTTGTGTCTTGCCCTCCGTGTGCAAGGTGTCAATGATCGTCTTTTGGACAACTGTCAAGTCTGCAGTCTTTCTTATGATTGTGCAGCCTACAGAACTAGACTGAGAGACCATTTAAAGGCCTTTGCAAATGTTTTGAGTTAATTAGCTGATTAGAGTGCAACACCATGTTTCTTCAATATTGAACCTTTTCACAATATTCTAATTTTGAGATACTGAATTTGGGGTTTTCATTAGTTGTCAGTTATAATAATCAACACTAAAAGTAATAAACATTTGAAATATATCAGTCTGTAATGAATGAATATAATATACAAGTTTAACTTTTGAATGGAATTACTGAAATAAATGGAATTACTGAAATAAATCAACTTTTTCATGATATTCTAATTTTATGGCCAGCACCTGTAAATGCTTTGATTAAATGTGTCTAATATCCAACAATAAAAGCACCAGTGATGTCAGTCGGAAAACTCTAAGTACTGTACATATGTTTCAACGTTTATTTGACTTGTAGTTGTATTTATAAAAAAACATAACAGCAGTTGTACGAAATTAAACATAAAAATACTGTATGTCCAACATTAGCTCAAAATAATCTTCACCAGAACTTTACAAGTCAGTTAGTTTTGCTATCAGTCTGCAGCCGAACAATCAGGATTTAAAAAAATAAATATCAGATGTTATTCAAACAGAAGTTTGAGATAAAAAGCAGCACTTGTCCATTTGAGCTCCTCTTCTCCATCAGCTGAGTTTGTTCATCTGGCTGTGTGTGGCAGAGCTGAGTTCAGGTGGCTCATCTTCACTTGGCAGGAAGCCCCACGACATGAGCAGAGCGAAACGCTGATCTGGGCGAGCGGAGAAATACTCCTTCTGTTTCTCAGAGTAAGTCCGCAAAGGAGGCACAACGTCTCTGAAGCTCCAGTCCTTATGATACAAAAGAGAAAATACAATCATAATCTAGTTTGGAATGCTTTAACAATTTAAAAACTGTTGTTGTGGTAAATCAAAATTAGAAATGGACAGAAATTGCAAAAAAAAATCTGATAATATCTATGTATTCTGGCTACAAGGTTGACCAAACTGTCTGTAACTGTTCCTTCTCAGCACAAGACAATTTTAGTCTAAAACATGAAGGGTGGCAGAAAATATTGCTGCAAGGAACGCTGGATGTCTTAAAGTGTCTTCTAGTAAGGAATGCTAACACTTATATGATTAAATGTAAATGGACGGCGTACCTGCCAATGAAAGTTAAAGGCCTCGAGCAGCTGAATTCTGCCCTCTCTAGAAGGAACACAGTTCGGAGGAGATGGCTGCACCAGCTCAGAGCCCACCATTATGTCCACAAACACCAGCAGAGCTCTGATGGCAAACCAGCCTCCAAACTTCGGATGCACGCACACTCCAAACATTTTCTGCAGGGTAAACAGAATTCACTACATTCAGATGAAGAAAAAAAAAAATCAGGGAAGAAAAACACTTTATTATACAGTAGTCCCTCGTTTATCGCGGGGGTTCTGTACCCTGCCCCCTCGCGATAAGTGAAAAACTGCGAAGTAGGGATACAGTAGTCCAAGTTCAAGTAAACTTTATTGTCATTACCATCTCATGTGGTGCATGAGGTGGAACAAAATTATGTACACAAGTAGTAGTACTAGTAGTAATAGTAGTTTATTTTAGTATTTACTGTAGTAGTAAGTAGAGGTTTGCTTTAGTATTTATATACAGGTATATATTAAGGCATTTTAAACCCTTCCAACACTCTGGCAATATTCTAAACAATGTTTCTAAACTAAACGCTCTAAAAGAGCACAGCATGTCATGATCTCTGCTCTCTACCACCTGCCAGCGCTCTCGGCCACGCCCACTTCTCTGCTGCAGAGCAGAGATCATGACGCACAGGAGGAAGCTTCTCCTGCAGTGTGGGCTGCACAAAGATGCAGCAGGTGCTAAATAACTTAAAACAATTTATTTTAAATTTAAATTCCATGCCGATCGTGCGGCTCATCCATCAATCAGCCAATTGTGTCATCTTATTTTGAAAAACAGCGATACAGCGAGTCTGCGAAAGTCGAACCGCAAAGTACGTAGGGACTACTGTACACACACACACACGCACGCACGCACGCACATACACACACACACACACATACACACACACACACACACACACAAAATCAGATTTTCACACAGGTCCTAAAAGTAGATAAAGAGAACCCAGTTAAACAAATGAGACTAAAATATTATACTTGTCATTAATTTATTGGGGAAAATGATCCAATATTAAATATTTATAAGTGGCAAAAGTATGTGAACCTTTACTTTACTTACTGGTGTGACTGTGCTGCAATAACTGCAACTAAACATTTCCAGTAACTAAAAAAGTTAAGTCTGGTCCTCTGGATGTTCAAAAAACAAACAAGAAAAGTTGTAGAAACGTTTCGTCTTTCATCTGAAAGACTTCTTCCAGTAACTGTTGATCAGTCCTGCTCACCGGCTTGGAGGAATTTTAGTCCATTCCTCTGTTTCAGCTTCAACTCTGGATGTTGGTGGTTTCCTCACATCAACTGCTGCTTCAGGACCTTCTACAACATCTGGATTGGATTAAGGTCAGGACTTTAACTTGGCCGTTCCAAAACATGAACTTTATTCTTCTTGAACCATTCTTTGGTAGAACAACGCGTGTGCTTTTGGTCATTGTCTTGCTGCATGACCCACCTTCATGCAACAGTTATTTTTACAGGCTAACCTCACTGAGCCACGAGGACTCCTTTACAAGATGGACCTGTACTCATGACCCCGAAGAGACTGGAGACCTTCTCTTGAGATTCAGTTCATGGACAGATGTCCTGACATTTTCCTTTACAATTCTCTGATATAATTCAGAATTCATTGTTCCATGAATGATGGCAAGACATCCTGGTCCAGATGCAACAAAACAGGCCCAAACCATGATACTACCACCATCATGTTTCACAGATGGGATAAGGTTCTTATGCAGGAATGCAGAGTTTTCCTTTCTCCAAACAGAACACTTTTCATTTAAGTTTTATTTTGGTCTTATCCGTCCACAAAACATTCTTCTAACAGTCTTCTGGATTGTCCACGTGATCTTTAACAAACTGCAGACAAGCAGCAATGTTCTTTTTGGAGAAGTGGCTTCTCCTTCAACCCTGCCATGAACCATTGTTGTTCAGCGTTCTCCTGATGGTGGACTCAAGAACATCAACATTAGTCAATGTGAGAGAAGCCTTCAGTTGCTGAGAAGTTACCCTGGGGTCCTTTGTAACCTCGCTGACTGTTATAAATCTTGCTCTTAGAGTGATCTTTGTTGGTCCACCACTCCTGGGGAGGGAACAATGCTCTTGAATTTCCTCCATCTGTACACAGTCTGTGGATTGGTGGAGTCCAAACTCTTTACAGATGGTTTGTAACCTTTTCCAGTCTGATGATCATCAACAACTTTTTCTGAGCTCCTCAGAAATCTCCTTTGTTCCTGCCACGATCCACTTCCACAAACATGTTGTGAAGATCAGACTTTGATAGATTCTGTTCTTTAAATCAAACATGGTGCCCACTCACACCTGATCGACATCACATTGATTGGAAACACCTGACTCTAATTTCACCTTCAAATTAACTTCTAACCCTACAGGTTCACATACTTTTGTCACTCACAATTATGTAATATATTGGATGATTTTCCTCAATAAATAAATGACCAAATTTAATTGTTTTGTCTCATTTGTTTAACTGGGTGATCTCTTCATCTACTTTTAGGACTTGTGTGAAAATCTGATGTTTTAGTTCATATTTATGCAGAAATATAGAAAAATTATAAAGAGTTCACAAACATTTAAGCACCACTGTATATAAAAGCACTAAATGTGTGCCTTTTGACAAATAAGTGAAAAGATTTACTTTGTCTGCCCAGGGCTGGTTTGTCACGTCGGACTGCTGGTAGTAGAACGCAGCTCCGGATACGTGCGCCGCAGTCTGCGCTAAGAACTTCGGCTTCCTGTTGGGCAGCAGCTCATAGTCGTACCTCACATCCACCTTCTGTTCTGGAAAACACTTAGCCAGAAAAAATAAATAAATAAATAAATAAATAAATAAATCTAGGTGCTGTAAACCTGTCAAAACTTATTAAAATGAGTTAATGCAGTGAGTCCTATGAAATGTTACACCACTGTAACATACTTGAGTTGCACAACTCCTAAAAGGTGCTGAGATTCAAACAAACAAACAAAAACAACGTGGAACAAGCAGAAGATAAAGGATGGTTGGATGGATAATTAATTATGTGTGACCTCAGTGTGTTTCCACGCACACGTCTTAAGACTTGTAACCAAATCAGCTAACAAGCAAATGGTAATACTTGTCTAATTACAAGTACAATCAGTCCCTAATCAGCACGAGTCACAATTATTGTTTTTTTTTTAATCCCAATACAAAAATCTGTTATGTAACAGATGTAAGAAGAGAGAAACAAAATAACAACATACAAAACTAATTAAACATTGGACCTTGAACTCTGCAGAGTTCTGTGTCAGGGCACCAATGCTGACTAATTTAACAGACACGTAAAACACTGAAGTAAATGCTGACAACAGAGAATCACTTCAAACAGCAATTTTACAACCTTTAATTAAAAACATGAGCCAATCCTTCTGTGTTACAACTACAATTCTGACTAAGTTGGGACGTTGTGCACGTGGTAAACAAAAACAGGATGCCATGATTTGTAAACGTCATAAACCCATATTTTTATTAACAATCAAACCTAGTAAACCTAGCAACTAAGAAATTGTACCATTTTTAATTGTACCAAAAAAAAGGAGGAAAAGTATCAACAAAAGGCTGTGAAAGTCAGTGGTCCAAATAAACAGGCGGAGGAGCATTCTGCTGCTCATTAGTTACTTAACAACAGGTCAGTAAGAGGACTGCGTATAACTTTATGAAGAGGCTTAGATGTAAAGATGGACAGAGATTCGCCAGTTTGTGAAAAACTGCATCTAAAAATAGTGAATCATTTCAGAATAATGTTCCTAAATGGAAAACTGGGAAGACTTTAAATATCCTATCATCAACAGTTTATAACTTTATCAAAACTTCTGCACAAAAGACAAGGACGAATGTCAATATTAGGTGCCTTTGTGGATGAACTTCGTGGCCCTCAGGTGGCACTGCATTAAAAACAGGACTGCAACTGTTACGGACATCACTGCACGAGCTAAGAAAGAATCCCACAAATTGTTGTAATCACAGTTCACCACATCATCCACAAATGGAGGTTAAATCTCTATCGTGCAAAGAAGCAGCCTGCAGCATACAGTAAAACTTTTTGTTCAAAAACTGGTGTACTTGGAGATCAGCGTCACCCTTCAGCGTGGTTTAAATTTCCATTTATGCTTTTAATACCGATGCTTGTGTCACTGCTCAGTCACACTTCTACTCTCACCTGTGTGGTAACACTTGTGATATGGAGCCGAACACACTGATCTATGGGGTCAGACAGCTTTTCATAGTTCTTCTGCTCCAAGAAGGGCAGAAAGGCTTCTTCAAACATAGTAGGAGTGCTGAGCACCACCTCAGCCAAGGTGTCATCTCCATAAGGCAGGTGTAGGCAGGGGGGAAGCAGAGCGTTATACCAGCCAACCTGTTGGACAAAAGGTGCAACAGAAGAACAGTGAACGCCTAAAGTAAATAATGCTACTGCGGTGAAGTTAGTTTTGGGTTGGATATTAGATATTCAATCTCCTCAGATTCAGCGATGTCTTCCTCTGGTTCGAGCCGATGCAGGCAGTCTGATTGATCTGATGGAGCTGCTCTCAGTCCGCTGCCTCCTCTTAGGGACTGTCAATAAATTACCAAACCCTTGAGAAACAAAAATTAATAGTTTCATGTCATGTGACCCACTAACACAAAACTGATGCTTACTCCACTAGAATAGACAAACGAGACAGTCTGTTTTATTTAATTTGAATGCATTTAGTAATTTTAAACAAGTTTTCTAATCAAAACAAATGCTTTTGTTTCAATAGCTTTCATGTCATGTGACCCACGAACACAAAACTGACAGGACTGAACAGACTGGGTGACTATAAAATGGAAAAGGGGAGCTTTGTGCCGCCCTGTTCAACAGGATGGAAGCAGCTGTGGCATCCTTGTTGTCAAAGTAAGCTTTTTGTTTTAATCATGTCATGCATGTATGCATGATGTCAAGATCAAGGTTCTTTATTGTTATTCGCATCACATGTGGTACATGAGGTGGAACGAAATTGTGTACACAGGGTCTCAGTTGCACCCAACAATAGCAAAAATATAAAGTGTAAAAAGAAACAGTAAATAAGGATATAAGATATAAGATATGCGCTAAATGAACGCCAAACAGTACGCTAGAAGATCTAAGATATGCACTAGTCGTTAGTAGTGCAAAACAATGCACTGAACAACAGCAGCACGGACATGAGTCTTTGTGGGTAGAGGAGTACGAATAAATACAGTAGCATCAAATAATCAGCAGCATGAGATCAGCAGCATGGATAATCAGCAGCACATATAAACAATCAAAGTTGCATTACAGTGATTTTTGTTTCCACATTGATTATTCTGGTTAGAGATTCATGAGTCTAACAGCTTCAGGGTAGAAGCTGCTCCTCAGTCTAGTGTTCTGCACTTAATGCTCCTCAACCTCCTTCCTGAGGGGAGCGGGACAAAAAGTGTGTGTGCTGGGTATGTACAGACCCTTTCCAAAAATTAGAATATCATGGAAAAGTTGTTTAACTTCCATAATTCCATTCAAAAAGTTAATCTTTAATAGATGATAGATTCAGGGTCCACAATTTAAACGATTTCAAGTATTTATTCGTTTATTTTTACATAATTTTGGCTTTCAGCTCAAGAAATCCACGAAAACAGGATTTCAAAAAATTTGAATATTGTGGAGAAATCAGACCAAATTTTGCAGGGCATGAATGTTTTAAACTGAGTGTGACACACTAATCATCTACTAAACTCAAAGCACCTGCACAGGTTTCCCCAGGTGTCATTAAACTGCTTCAGTTCGGTTCAATATGTGGAAGACTGCAGACATAACTGGCCAGAAGACCATCATTGATACCCTCCATAGGATGGGTGAGACACAAAAGTTTATAGCTAAGGAGGCTGGCTGTTCACAGAGTGCTGTATCCAAATGGAAAGTCTAGTGGAAGGGCAATATGTGGCAGGAGAAGATGCACCAGCAAAATAGATGACTGTGGGATTCAGTGGATTATCAAACAGAGAAGATTCCAGAATCTGGCAGAGATCCAGAAAGAGTAGAATGAGGCGGGAGTCACAGCTTCAAAAAACACCACGTTCAGATGCATCCGGGAGATGGGCTACAACTGTTGGGTTCATTGGTCCTCTTTTCCGATGAAAGTAAAGTGTTCCTTTCATTCGGAAATCAAGGTCCAAGGGTTTGGAGGGAGAAGGGTGAGGAACAGAACCCATACTGCTTGAGGTCCAGTGTGAAATATCCACAGTCAGTCATGATTTGGGGTGCAATGTCCAGTGCAGGTGCACAACAGTCTACCAGAATGTTTTAGAGGACTTCATGATTCCTTCTGCTGAGGATCTGTATGGAGATGCAGATTTCATCTTCCAGCAGTACCTGTCCCCTGCCCATGTTGCCAGAAGCACCAAAACCTGGTTTGATGTCCATGTCACAGTGCTTGACTGGCCAGCCAACTCACTGGACCTAAACCCCATTGAGAATCTATGGGGTATTCTCAAGAGGAAAATGAGGGGCACCAGATCCAACAACAAAGAAGAGCTGACAGCATCAAGGAAATCTGGGCTTCCATAACTCCCAGTCAATGCCAGACTGATTGACTCAATGCCACGTCACATCCAGGCAGTGATTAAGGCAAAGGGATTCCCAACCAAGTATTAAAGATTGACATATTGTTGTGAAAGTACCATATTTTGATTTTGTTGTGAGCCTAATTTATTTCTTTTTTTCTGCAAAAACTGAGTAGTGTGGGCTGATTTCTTCACAGTATTCTAATTTTTTTAAATCCTGTTTTCGTAGGTTTCATGAGCTCAAAGCCCAAATTATATAAAAATAAACAAATAAATACTTGAAATCATTTAAATTGTGGGCCCTGAATCTATCATCTATTAAAGATTAACTTTTTGAATGGAATTGTGGAAATTAAACAACTTTTCAATGATATTCAATTTTTTTGGAAAGTCTGTTTTGTGTGTGTGTGTATATAATATATATATATATATATATATATATATATATATATATATATATATATAAAACACTAAAATAAACTACTACTTATACTACTATTCCTACTTCATGGTTTTTCACTTATTGTGGGGCTTCAGGGTAAAGATCCCCGCAATACTGGTTCCAACCACCTACTTCATATATTGTATGACACAGCGCCACCAGAGGTGAACCAGGGTACTACACTGCTGCACCCAGAGCATTTCTTTCTTCCATGTGCCCCCCCCCCCCATTCATTCAACCTTTATTTCGACAGGTAAATCCCATTGAGCCTCGAGGACTCATTTACAAGAGAGACCTGTTTGAACAGGCAATGCATAAATTCCGCAATTTTGACCAATAACGTGTTGAAATAATTCAGAAAACAGTTTTATAAATAGAACAGTCAAAGTGGTCAAATGCATTTTCTCTTATCTTGTTAGTATTTTACTTGTCATGATGACAGGTGCCTCACCTGCCTCCCCTGACTGTGTGTCACTGGTGGGAGCTCAAAGCTATTTTTTTTTTTTGTTTGTTTTCAAGTTTTTGGTAATTTGTTGACGGTCCCTAAAAGAACCCCTCGGGTTCAGGTTCAACCCTTCGGACGCAGCTCCCCGAAATCAGACTGCCTGTGGTACACATTGAGGTACAACACGGTCAGGTTAGTAATTTAGCTTGGACTGTTGGCGATTATTGAAACTTCTTTTGAGGTAAATACTTCCCACTTGTTTGAAACAAATGTGTAAATTCGTGCTACTATACCTTAAGAGGATACACTTCAAATCCCAGTTTGGATAAACAGCTGTCTAATAATCCCGTCACACTCGCCGCACTGGAAGTCGCCATCAACGCTTTGATTCCGTACAGCTTTGAATTGTGGGATATGGTGTTCTTTGACGCGTCAAAGTTTAAAACCAGGATCGGTTTCTTGTACTTTTTTTTTGCTACAGTTCCTCCTGAAATAACAACTGTCTGACATTAAAAGAAAACACAGGAAACGCTGTTCCTTGGGGCACTGGAAGATTTACTTAATTTTGTGTGTTCAAAACTGGAAATCACTCCATGAGCAACGATACCCAGAAGCCCCACTTCGGTCACGTCACACCACATGACGTCATCGCTTCATCTACTGAGCAGTCCGAGGGGCGCCTAGACTTTTTAAAACTTTGTAGACTTTTTAAACTACAAAACAGGAAAAACTTCCTGCAAACTTATCCAACTTCCATAAACAATTAATTTTACGCTGGACATTGGTTAATAAACAACTGTTCCCCTCTTAACTGTCTTATTAGGAACAACCAAGATATTTGCTTCAAGCGTAAATCATTATTTTTAAGAACTGGGTGGATTATAATATTTTATGTTTAAAACGATTGTTTAACAAGGATGGACTAATGTTTAGTTATGGTGAATTTCTTTCTGAATATAACATCCCTGTAACCCCTAAAGATTTTATTGTTTTTGATGCCATCCCAGCAGGTTTAAGATTCCTCATATCCACTGCTGATAGAGCTCAAGTCCAATATCCTCTGTTTCCAGAGTTATTTATTGCAACTCAGACCCTTTCCTTAGGATTAAAACCGGAAATTAACATATTAGAGAAATAATCCAAAGGAATACTATTAGTAATCTTTTTGTGGAACAGTCTGTTTATTGATTGGGAACGGATGTGGTCGTTGCCAAGAATTGTTTTTGTCTCAAATAAGATCCGGTACGGACCCGGTCGGTGCCTCTTAAAATTTTACTCAGATATAATCCTAATAATAATTCAGTACTGGCTAAATATATTCCAAATATTGATCCTCTTTGTTCCTTTGGTCATCTTGAAGATGAAACATTGACCCACCTTTTCTGGCACTGCACTTTCAGTAAAACATTTTGGTGTAACCTCTTCTATAACAGAAAATGTGATATGCATGTTACATTGAATGTTCAACATGTTTTATTTTGTGTTTCTAATATTAGAACATCTGGGATAGAATATGGCATTAACTTTCTTCTGTTGGCTAAATTCCCCGTACAGGTTTCATTTCAGGTCTCTCTTGTAAATGAGTCCCCGAGGCTCAATGGGATCAGCTGTATAAATAAAGGTTGAATGAATACATGCCAGCAAATTGTTTTCAAAGCCAAATCTGAGCTGTTTTTTGTCTCTTTAAAGCTTTGCACCAACTCTAAAGCTATGAGACTTAAAGCCTTATGTGATGACTTTGATTTGTAACCTTTTATTTTGTCTCGTGAAATCTTTGTATTTGTTACTCCCTCACCTCCAGCATATTATTAATGTCTGTGGTTATCATTTGTAAATAAAATTTGTTTAAAAAAGAGCTCCATCTAACACTTCCAGTTCACAAGTCACGCAGGAGGCACAAAAACCATAGTCATACGCAGAGGAAATGGACTGAACTTCATAAAGCATCGTTCTACAAAGTGTTCGAAGTTAATCCCTGTCATTCACACACTAATATATTTAGAAAACAAACAGGCGCCAAAGACAACATCGTAACGGTTAAGGTGGTTATTAAAAATGTTCATTCCTTTCATGTTTAGTTTAAAGGTAAGCTCTAAAGAACTTCAAGATAAAGTGAGTAAGATAAATAGAATTAAAATTAATAAAAAGGTGATAAAGCGCAAGGCTTGTGATGTGTGTTGAAACATGTTCACAGAACAACTGTGGCTGTTTCACTTTCTGCCTTCACATCTTTCTGGAGGTGATTTCCAGCTCAGTGCTGCCACCTGCTGGATCCACTCACAAACTACATGCAGGAACTGAAGGAAGGGAAGTCTGGGATTGTCGTCATTGTATGTCATAAAATGGTGAAATTAGTTCTCTGCATTTAACCCATCACACCTGGGATACACCCAGGTGGTGCAGTGGGCAGCTATGTAAGCGCCCAGGGAGCAAGAAGGGATTGGGTGTCTTGCTCAGAGAAACCACAACATGTGGGAATGGCTGGGGATCGAACGGCTGCTCTACCTCTAACATCTCAGACCCGGGCCTCACCATCTTCATCTCTGCACTCTGAGTTCATATTTCACTTTTTTTTTTCTTCACATTTTTGATAAAGCAGCATCATTTTTAGGACTTCTTTTCATTTCCTCATGTTCGATCACATGACCTGTCTGATGACTTTCCTTTCACTCAGACATGAAAAAAACATGATCACCCTTTCATCAATGACCACTTACAGGACCTGCTGTTTCTTTGTTTGTCTGTATAAATTATGTTGTAGGGTAAATAAACTGGAACTAATAAAGTCGTCTGATAGAATGGATTAAATGACAAAATACAAAAAAACTAAAGATTTCACAAACATGAAATAAATTCAAAGTTTTCTTTAAATGATTGGACTTTATAGCTCATTAAATGTAATTATCAGTGTGTTGTAAAACGTGCACTTTATGACAGATATCATGTGACTCAGATCAAAGTCAAGTTTTTTGGACTATCATAATCTTTAAAGTGGATTCAAAGTGACAAAAGTTCAGTGTGAGGAGTGTATATATATATATATATATATATTCACACTAAAATAAACTACTACTTATACTACTATTCCTACTTCTGTAGAGGCAGGGCAGCCGGCTTGGGACTCGAAAGTCCCAGGTTCGATCCCCAGTCACTGCATATCACGTGGTGTCTCTGGGCAGCACACCTCATCCCACACACTTTTTGTCCCGCTCCCCTCAGGAAGGAGGTTGAGGAGCATTAAGTGTAGAACCACTAGACTGAGGAACAGCTTCTACCCTGAGGCTGTTAGACTCATGAATCTCTAACTAGAATAATCACTGTGAAAAATCACATGTTGCTGCTGATCTGTTTCATGTTGCTGCTGATCTGTTTCATGTTGAGGTGTTCATGCGTGCTCATCTGCTCACATAGACTCAAGTTCATGTTCGTGCTGCTGTTAGATGTAATGTTTTTTATACTATTAGTGCTTAGTGTATTTTTAGTTGATGTTTTTCTTAGTTCATATCTTAGATGTTATCATTGTTTTTCTTTTACATTTTTATTGTTGGATGTAACTGGGACCCTGTGTACATAATTTTGCTCCACCACATGTACCATTTGAGGTGCGAATGACAAATAAAGAAACTCAAACTCAGAAGTAAACTTTGTCACTACACTCTCATGTGGTACATGAGATGGAACGTAATTATGTACACAAGTAATAGTAGTAGTAAGTAGTAGTTTATTTTAGTATTTACTTTAGTAGAAGTAACTAGTAGTCCCATCCATCCATCCATCTTCTGCTTGTTCCGAAGTCGGGTCGCGGGGCGGCCCAGACATCTCTTTCCACAGAATCAGAATCAGAATAAGCTTTATTGTCCTTGCACCGAGATACAACGAGAACGTGTACGTACAGTCGTCCGAAAGACGGACGTAGTGCACAAAGCTGCGGCTAATTAGCATGGCCCTCTTATGCTTATTCAGAATAATATTTTTGCTTAGATGAGAAAAGGGAAGAAAACATGAGAGAAAACATGAGAAGAGAAGGTATAAAAAAGATCTCTCACACCATGTCCTTGACAGGGTACGATTTGAGGCATAAAAAAAAACCTACCACAGCATAGCACATAAATAGACGTGATACATGTACATATATGCCGGTGAAGGCATTGAATTTTAAGGGAAGGTCGTAGCATAGACCACAGCCCCCCCTCAGCCATTGTCCAGAGAAGAGTTATTTATCATCAGCTCGGTTGAGGTTCCGTCACATGTCCACGGCCTTGGGGAAGGGAGGGGTGAAGAGACAGACAAATTGTCTTTGTTTTTCTTAAACATGCCATGAGGTATTGAGATAAGTCCACCATCAAGGCCACAGTTTTAGGTCAGGCAGAACTCGTAAATTGCTGTTTCTACCTTTTAAAGTCTCACTGGTGCATTTCTCTGATGGAGACTCCAAACAGCCGAATTGATTCCTTACGCTGAAAGTCGAGCTCACAGCTTTCTTCAAGATTATTCCCAACCATTCATGGGTGCTGCCATAAAGTTCACAGTCCTGATAACAGCCTGCCCCAACTCTGACACAGCTCCACATAATTCAGTCTGAGTGCTGCCAAGCTTCGACACATTCCACACACATTTGTAGACAATCCAGATTTCACCAACCCAAACAGCAGAATCCTGTTGTCATCATGAATCCAATTTGTTTCCGTCGAGGTAAGAGGGTCCTCCTTACCCTGACTTCCTGTTGGAAGAAGTTGATCAATTTTGTTGAGATACCAGCTGTGCTGGCTTATCAGAACTGTGCCAGCTGACCAGCATCTTATCAGGACTATGGTCTATTATCTGAAAGTGCTCACAGATCAATCTCAAGGTCTGGATGTCAAATGCAATGTGTTTTTAAATGTGCTTGCTGGTAGAGTTTTTTGATGTCTCAAATTGTGTCCTGATAGGACAAGATGTGAAGAGATCTTTTTTGTAATACCACTATGCACCCTCATGGCCTTTTCTCCTTTTCTATCTAAAAGTACGCTAATAAAGAATAAGGGGCCACATATTGATAGCAGCAGCAACGTCACTCCGCCCATCTTTTGGACGACTGTATGAAGATAATTTAACTATCCTGGTACAATGATGATAAAGCTTATTCCAATTCTACAGATGTGGACAGTAACTGTGGTAACGGACCACAAACCTCCACACCTCACAGACTATTTAACAACAAACCAGAGAACTGTACACTTTAGTTCTGTGTGATCTGTTTAAATTTGTCTTCAAACTAAATCTTTGTCCACAAAGTTCACAAGGAAATGGTTTGACTCCTGTGTGGACTCTCATGTGTCTGTTTAGAATAGAATAGAATAGAATAGAATAGAATAGAATAGAATAGAATAGAATAGAA